ACTGGTCGGCTCTCATTTTATGTTGATGCATCCAAACATTATGATCCAACGAAAATATCATACTGGGATAGAAATTATTGCTGAAATGGATGACACGAAATTCGTAGAAGTGATACCATGTTTTCAAGGTAGAAACTTACCAAAAATGTGGGCGAAAAGCTGTTCCTGCCATGGTTCCATCTGTATTGAACGCAACAAGATACCTTGAATATTACCTATCATCTAATAGCTCAAAACAACATTGAACTCCAGCTTTCAAGATGATTTACCTGTGCAACTTTTCGCAGTCACCGAGGTCTCCAAGTGCCTTGAACCAAGAATAAAAAGTTCTAGATTGACCCTCATCACCTATGCCAACGTAACTTTCAACGTCGGCTGGTCTTGTCTAAAACGCAGAAGAGACTCAGAAATGAGAAATGAAGAACGAGATTATATGAAAAAATAAGCTTCAAATCTATAGTAAGAGAACGTGAAATGAAATAACCTCAAACAGATCAGATTCCTTTGCTTCTTCCCGACTTTCGTAGAATTTTATTCGTTTCTCCACGGCAGGAGTGACGTTCAGTCTTCCTACATCAACAATCAAATCGAAATCGAGTAAGAGAGCAAAACCAACCTTCGGCTATCTCATTCTTCAAATAAGGAATAACATCTGACAAGCACTTCAGCTCTTTCCATGATGGAACATCGGGCATAGTGTCCTGATGCACTGCAGAATCGCGTTCAAGCTAAAAAAAGCAGGGGATGAATTGGGAATTTACAGGGATCTCAAGATATCGAATTCTCACCAAGTGGAAGGAAACTTGTAGGATGAAAGCAACTTTTCCTTCCTGTACAGCCTCTACCGTACGCGTGCAAAAAGAACGACCATCTCGAACACGGCGCACTTGGTATTGGACAGGGATGGCGGTATCGACTATAAACACAAATTCGAACTGAATAGTTGAAGGCCATCTATTTTACAAACAAGTCTCCATAAAAATTATGGGAAATGTATGGAGTCAATAATTCGCCTATGTCTTTTTTTCTTATATTGATGCAAATCATATAAATTCAAAAAATAGGGGAACAAAAAATAAGTCAGATCTCACCATTCAGTATGAAGAAAGAATGCATAGCATGAGGTTTGAACTTTTCATCAACAGTTTCTTCAGCAGCAGCCAAAGCCTGTGCAAAAATAAGGCCACCATATGCAGCTTTGGCCGAACCCTGTCGCAGGGTGCTCAGATTCGATGTTCTGAAAAGTGTCACTGAACAGTTAGTGAAATTAAGAAATCAAAAAAATATAGGTACTGCATAAGAAACGGAAAAGGATTTTTTTCTGGGGGAAGGATGCAACATAAGTCGGTGATTGAGAACGAGATGTATACCAATAGACTCGCCTTGGATGATCATTCCAAATCCGCTTTCTTTTTTTTTTGCGAAAAACTTTCTGGAAGAAGTTATAAGCCTTTAAATGTCTATGACTGTCAAGCTTCAAGTGGCCTAAAATCAACGAAAAGCTGCACAAATCCATAGGAGGGAACAAAGCCAGTAGTAATTCGCACTTTTCGCTTTCAAGCCACTCAATGTTTGACAAATCTGGACATTCAACGCTCACTACTTCTTTCGGAAAGCTGTTCCGCAAAAAAAAAGAAGAAAGCAGATTTGGAATCAGCCTTTAGAGACGCATTTAGTGATATACCGTTTTTAATTGCCAACTTATGCTGGTATCCATCTTTTTAAGAAGGAAGGGGAAATTGATGAAATTGGATGACCCTCCTCAAAATGATTTTTGAGAAGGGTCGTAATCCTATTTATAAAACTTTATAGCCGCCTTAGATAATTCTGTCTAAACATTCGCTTATAGCACCACTATGATAGGAAGTTGATTTTGTAAATTTAACGGAATCAAAATCCTCGTATACAACATTTCCGACAATACTTTCTAGGCATCTATTACGGTTTTACACTTATCTATTCCCAGATTCTATGGACTTGCATAAAAAGTGCTCTTTTACAGAAAAAAAATCGAGTGATAGCACTAAAGATGGCACGTTTTTTCATTCAATCACTTTCGTGAGCGCAACTCTAGATAGTAAAGTGATAAACCAAACTGGCTCCAGGACTAATATAAAAAAGATCGCAGTGGTATGGAAGTGAAAATCATAACAAGAAAGAAAGAGAAAGCAAAAACTGCATCACAAACCTGAAGACATCGGGTTCGACTTGCTCGAAAACGAAGAAACTTTTCGCTCGTTCTTCGTAATTCTCCATCGACTCGGAAGCCTCTTGTGGAGAAGGATTTGCTGCTTTGTAGGAAGAACAACGACGTACGGAAACGGCGTTATCAGCTGTTAGATACCTGATGACGTTACGGAACAAAGACGCTCTCATTGTGGGTTAGACTTTGATTAAAAGTTCTAGTTCGGGAGGCGGTGACAGCAATCAACTCTTCAAACTGCGCACTCTTTACGCCTGCCGGTGTGACGTCACTGATAAGTGCTACACTAGAATGTGGAGTAGGAAAGTCTCTATAGATTACAGCATCTAATTAACTGCGAACTTCTGCAGCTGCAGGGGCAGGAAGAGGAATCTGGTAGACGGGACTGCTGATCGGTGTACTTTGTACCGCGTTGCAAGTGCTAGAGCGTAGCTGTTCATCGACCAGACATCGCATCGACACACATCTAAAATCAGGTCATAAGTAAAACGCTGAGAAAGCGCAGTTTGCGAGAGATGCGAGATTAATCGACGAAAACATCTGTAGAGTAATTATTCGTTACAGATAAAAACATGTATTGGGACAAGAAAAGCGCTCGAATTCGATGCTCATTTGGATACGAGAATACCCTCAAACGATTGATAGTCCTATTTGTAATCTTTCCTAGGCTATGGATGAGGAAGACCCTGAGGAAGGAAAGCACTTCTGATAGTCTAACCTTAAAGACAGTGTCCCTCCAAAAATTCGCATTCATGTTTCGCATTCATGTTTTTCAGCTTTTCGGAGCC